TGGCAACGGTTAACGGTAAATTCAGCAGGGCCGATAACGCTTAACGGTAAATTCAGGACGGTCGGCAACGCTTAACGGTAAATTGACAGGCTTTTTTTCGAGCTGCACTGGATTTGGTATCTCGCTTTGTGAGAAAAGGTGATCACTGACAAAATTACGTATACCTTACATGTAATGAAGCATGCATTAAAGGTATGTGTTCCCTGTGTTTCCCACCTGCCCTGGTCCCCGAGTGCGTCCACAAATAAAGGGGAGTCCGAGTCGACGTCGGCCAAGGCTCTACCCAGCTTGACTTTTTTCCGTTCGCCCAGTTTTACCGATGGATTTTGAGAGTGGAGCGCCAAATGCGCTCGCAATCTAAGGGGGTCCGGGGGTGCTCCCCGGGAAATTTAGGATTTTTAAGCGTTCAAAAACGCAATTTCCCGCATTTTGAGAGGCAAATCATGGTGTTGAGAGTGTTTGTCGTTCCTTCTGATGTTTTCATATTTTTACTAAAGATTTTTGTTAATTTTGTCTGTCAAGGTTGACGGATTCATTAAAAAATTCTGTGACGCTCCGCAAACTTCCGGTAATTGACAGAAAACTAGAGACGATGGGGACCTAGCGCAGAAGCGCGAGTCGAGCGCCAAAGGCGCGAGCAATGTAGGGGGGTCCGGGGGCATTCTCCCCCGGGAAATTTTGTATTTTTGAACCATCAATGACGCATTTTCCTGCACTTTGATAGGCAAAATTAGGCGTAACGAATAATTATTCATTGACGCTTAACGCTGAATTTAGGATGACAAATAACGTTTTACGTTGAATTAAAACGACCAATAACGCTTCACGATGAATATACTGCTAACGCTTAACGTTGAATTAGAGCGGGCCGGCAACGATTATCGCTAAATTAAAATAGCCCATAACGGTTAACGAAAAAGGGCATGCAGACCCTCTCTCAGGGCTTAGGCGTAGTCTCCAACAGGCTTCTCTCAGGGCTTCGGTGTAGTCTCCAACAGGCTTCTCTCAGGGCTTAGGCGTAGTCTACAACAGGCTTCTCTCAGGGCTTAGGCGTAGTCTACAACAGGCTTCTCTCAGGGCTTCGGTGTAGTCTCCAACAGGCTTCTCTCAGGGCTCAGGTGTAGCCTCGAACAAGCTTCTCTCAGGGCTTCGGTATAGTCTCAAACAGGCTTCTCTCAGGGCTTCAGTGTAGTCTCCAACAGGCTTCTCTCAGGGCTTTGGTGTAGCCTCCAACAGGCTTCTCTTAGAGCTTTGGTGTAGTCTACAACAGGCTTCTCTCAGGGCTTTGGTGTAGCCTCCAACAGGCTTCTCTTAGAGCTTTTATGTAGTCTCCAACAGGCTTCTCTCAGTAATGAATAAATATTATGATTCAATTATATCTCCAGTACTAGAAGTTTTTTACACCAAGAACATTCAAAGCCATCTTCCTAGGATTGAACTTTTATTTATATCTTGAGATGTACAGCATTTGCACAGGGAATGTCGATCAACATAACAAGTTTGTATTTCCAGATTTCCACAACATTTCTTTTACTTACAAGTAGGCACATGCAGACATTACAGGACAATATAAATCTTCTCTTCAATGAAATGAGACGAAATCTCGATACTGCCTTCAACATTTCTGCAGTTCTGTTGTGAATAATCAGACTTGTGTGGAGCAATTATCAGCAGCTGCAATGCGGGCTTATTCGGCAAGGAGGCGCTGTAGGTCTACAGGTGTATTATAGCCCTTTACAAGTACAAATCACAAACTAACAAGGAGATGTCCCTTTTCTCACTTTTCATCATGATCAATGCCTCAACAAATGACAGATTTCTTACATCTCAGTGTCCATTTTTGTAGGGGGCATATTCACCATTCAAATTACAAAACACTTAGAAAATCACTAGCTATGAACTGACATTCATGCTACGTCTTGTCTATTTATAAAAAGAATGATTGGTTTTCCTGTGGTCCTCTCCAACATAGACACAGCACCTTAAGTTATTGTTCCGGAAACAGAAAGAGTTATTTAGCTCCCAACAGTGGGGAGTTTGCCTTGTTGGACTTTTGAGCTGCCCTGTATCCACACTTTCACATTGGTAGTCATGTGCAACATTGTGTTTCTCCAAACTGGATTTCTGTGCAGCAGAATAGTCACACTGGTCACACTTGCAGGGTTTTTCTCCTGTATGGGTTGTCATATGTTAAGTCAGACTTTCTAGCTGTCCTGTACCCACACTCCCCACACATGTAGGGTTTCTCACCAGGATTATTGAAGCTGATTGAGTGTTTTGCTTGATGTCGGTACAAATCAGATTTCTGTGCTGCAGAATAGTCACACTGGTCACACTTGTAGGGTTTTTCTCCTTTATGGGTTCTCATATGCTGGGATAAGTGAGACCTGTCAGCTGTCCTGTACCCACACTCCCCACACATAAAGGGTTTCTCACCGGTATGTTTTGCTAGATGTGTGTCCAACATGGATTTCTGTGCAGCAGAATAGTCACACTGGTCACACTTGTAGGGTTTTTCTCCTGTATGGGTTCTCATATGTAGGGATAAGGTAGACTTTTTAGATGTTCTGTACCCACACTCCCCACACATGTAGGGTTTCTCACCAGCGTTATTGAAGCTGACTTGTTGTGCTGCCCCCTGGCCTTGAGCATTGTTTGTTTTGCTGTCACAGTCAACCTGGAAAACCCCGGTGGGAGACCCATCATCTAAGTTCTCGCCAACTCCGGTAGGAGACCCTTGTCCTGTCGTTGCCATGTTCAGCCTAATTGTAAAATGAAGAAATTATCAAACTTAAGCGTTAAAAGCTGCCAATGATAAAATTAGGTTGAAAGAGACTCGGCATCATAGGTTTGGTCTGGTCTATTCGTAATAATATTTCACTGTTTTCACAAATCAGATTTTTCTAGATTTGTAATGTACGGCTTATGGTTGGTTGGTTGGTTGGTTTTCCTATAATGCCACTATCATAATAATGATCATTCTGACATACTCCTTTTCACCAAAGCACGAATTAACATATAGAAATTGAATACAATAATTAATCAATGAACAAGTAAAACAATTAAATACTGGCAGGACTGATCGAGATACTGCAAAAACTATTGAATTCTGACAAAAATGTCTGTACATATAGTAATATTTGAGTGTTGTACATTGTTGAGAGAAAAGAATTGAAGAACCTCTTAAAATTAAATGTACCAGACTATCATCAGAAAGATCATCCAAGTCAGTAATGAAGCCAATCAGTGTTTTCAAGGTGCCAAAAGCGCATTTCGTTGTTAAGTGTAGTTGGGGCAGTGTAACAAAAAGTTACAGAACCTCTAAGTCGTAATACGCTACTCTCATTACGCAACATTTCCATATAATTTCACGTACTCTAAAAAGGCCACTTTGCCTGATGCAAATCGACGTACATTTAAGTGGCGAGGGTCGAACGTATGTTAGGTTTCGCCCCCCCCCTCCCCCTTTAATTCAACGATATTCACATCCTGAAAATGCCTACAAATTATCATCCTACTGCGGTTCTTCTTCCACAGAAATGGTCTTAAACTATTTAAATCAACAGAAAAATACGTTTCTGCCCGTTTCCAAGCCTTACCTGATTCCTATGAAGGTTTTTCTCTTCACGTAAACCGGAACTCGGGCAGCTCTGTCCTTCCGTCGTCTCGTGAGGTCACTGGTTAACTCAATCTGGGTCAAGGGTGAAATTGTCGACCTGCTTACCCACTTTGTACATTTGACGTCATTTGGCACGCTACGTTCTCCTCATAATTTCAACGTTCTGAGTTTCAAACCGACCACCTTAACAACGTAACACGCGCCTGACTTTTGTTTCTAATCTAATACGAGAGGAGAATTTTTTAGAATAAATGTAAAGCCAAACTGTTTGGTCTGAATCTTGATTTCTGTGGTTTATGATGAACTCACCACCTCGGACAATATTCCCAGGGAAGGAAGCAACACAGGAACAAGGAAACATTATGTTCAAGGTACATAACGATTTAATTATTTCAGTGGAAAATATCTGTAGATACATCTTCGGAAAAAAACTACAAAAAAAAAACAACTTTTACTCGTAAAGTTTCGTATACAACATAACTCCTACGTTTTTACAATTGTAAAATTACTAATGTTGGAAACTGAAGCGAACCAAATGCTAGTTTACAGAGTTGACATTTTAGTCAAATATATTTGTTGTACATATAGGCACGCATTTCGTCAAAGTAACTTTTAACAAGAAATCGAAGCTCCATCCATACTATTTCAACGACTACGTTTCATCTATTGTCTACAATCACTTACCTACTCTCATCTGCCGAATAAACATACCCCCCGGAATAAACGTACCCCCCGGACAAATCTTCAAAATCAAATAAAGATACCCCCGGAATAAAGGTACCCCCCGGAAAATTACCAAAATTGACGGGTAACCTGTGTCTCTTGTACTAAAATGCGCCCTTACTGATATATGCACAAATCTTTAACTGTTATTTGCAATTAGGAATTTAAATAGACAAAAAAAAGAGCATTTAATATTTCGTATTTTGATAAGCACCACCCATGACAATAGAACATTCAGACGAATTTATGCACGCGGTGATTGCAAAAACCGGCCCGAAAATGACAAGTTTCTCGCTACAATACGCGTTTATAAACGTCTTCACGTCGATGATTTGTCAATTTTTTTCACACGAAGTTGAAAAAAATTACTGGTTTTCAAAAAATTAATAAACGTACTGTGCAAAATAAGAACGTACTAGGTGGATGCTCGGGCAAAAAAAAATAAACGTACCCGTATGTTTATTTGGCAGATGAGAGTATGTTAAGTACTGATTATATGTATATATTTACATTATCCAATAAATACTTTCAACTTAAATGTTCTTCTACTTCAGTTCTAAATAACTAAAAATATGGTTTCTGTTCTAAACAATTGATACCTACTATTAAAGAACAAAGTGTGCATTAGGCTTCTAAGAAATATTCTTGTAACTGAACCTTTGTTGGGTAATCAGAACGCAGTGGATGCAGTTGAAAGTACATGACAATGACTTTCATAGGAAGAAGGTTTTCTCATTTTGCAAATTTTGGTAATTTTTACAAAATATTTCACCTATTTTTTAAAGAAGATATTGAGCACTATTGCATTATATACTTAATCACGATATAAATGGAGAGAAACTGTATATAGTTAAGAGAAGATTGTGCACACAAATGTCACTACGAGATGGTCACATTTGCAGAGTTGGGGCTTCTGTGTGAATTTTTACATGTTGACTTAGGGCAGCCTTAGAGGCTGCAGAGAAGCTACACTGGTCACACTTGTAGGGTTTTCCTACCGTATGCGCTCTCATATGTCGGGATAAGGCAGACTTGTAAGCCGCCCTGTACCCACACTCCCCACACATGTAGGGTTTCTCACCAGCATGCATTTCTAGATGTTTGTCCAAATTAGCTTTCTGTGCTGCAGAATAGTCACACTGGTCACACTTGTAGGGTTTTTCTCCTGTATGTGTTCTCCTGTGTACGGATAGGTAAGACTTGAAAGTTGTCCTGTACCCACACTCCCCACACATGTAGGGTTTCTCGCCAGAGTGTCTCGCTAAATGATCGTCCAAGTCTGATTTCTGAGCTGCAGAATAGTCACACTGGTCACACTTGTAGGGTTTTTCTCCAGTATGGGTTCTCATGTGTCGTGTTAAGTTGGACCTCGAAGCTGTCCTGTACCCACACTCCCCACACATGTAGGGTTTCTCACAGGTGTGTTTTGCTAAGTGTTTGTCCAAAGCAGATTTCTGTGCAGCAGAATAGTCACACTGGTCACACTTGTAGGGTTTTTCTCCTGTATGGGTTCTCATGTGTCGGGATAAGTGAGATTTGCAAGCCGCCCTGTACCCACACTCCCCACACATGTAGGGTTTCTCACCGGTGTGTTTTGCTAGATGTTGGTCTAAATTAGATTTCTGTGCTGCAGAATAGTCACACTGGTCACACTTGTAGGGTTTTTCTCCTGTATGAGTTCTCATGTGTTGGGATAATTTAGACTTGTAAGTCGCCCTGTACCCACACTCCCCACACATGTAGGGTTTCTCACCAGCGTTATTCAAGTTGACTTGTTGTGCTGCCGCCTGGTCTTCAACATCGCTTGTTTTGCTGTCACAGTGGACCTGAGAAACCCCGGTGGGAGACCCATCGCAGCAGTTCTGACCAACGCCGATGGGAGACCCGTGTCCTGCCATTGCCATGTTCACCCTAATGACAAAAACAATTAAGAAATTATACAGAGTAAGCGTTATAAGCTGTCAATGATAAAATAGAATTTATAGAAAACAAGCTTTAAAAAATTCTAACTTCACCAAGCTTTACAATTTTAACCTAATGCATTACAACGTAACCCAACATAATTCTAACGTGTTGTCTTTCTCGCATTTGAATAAATTTGCTTCTATGTTGTTCCAATCATAATTTGTGAGATCTTACAATCACTCGTTCACACCACCGAGCTCGCTCAAAATATTCTATATCATATTATTTATTACTTCTACGACTACGAATAATGGGTAAAATGACTCCATTCGCTAGGCTGGAAAGAGAGTCGGCAGTATAGCCTATAGGTTTGGTCACCAGGCTTCTCTATTTACTGTTTTTACAAATCAGTTCTACGCGTTTCTAGATTTTGTAATGTACGCCTTGTGCGATTCTTTACAATACAATTAACATTTCTATGTAATTTCACGTACTCTAAAAAGGCCACTTTGCCTGATACAAATCGACGTACATGTAAGTGGCGAGGGTCGAACGTATGTTTGATTTCGCCCCCCCTCCCCCTTTAATTCAACGATATTCACATCCCAAAAATGCCTACAAAATATCGTCCTACTGCGGTTCTTCTTCCACAGAAATGGTCTTACACTATTCCCCTCAACATTAGAATACTTTTCTGCCCGTTTCTAAGCCTTACCTGCTTCCTATGATGGTTTTTCTCTTCACGTAAACCGGAACTCGGACAGCTTTGTCCTTCTGTCGTCTCGCGAGGTCAGAGGTGAACGCCAAGTGGGTCAAAGGTAAAGTTGTCTGCCTGATTACCCATGTCGTACATTTGACGTCAGGTGGCACGTTACGCTTTCCTCATAATGTCAACGTTCTGCGTTTAAAACCAACTACCTTAAGCCCCGGTCACACTGGGCGAACTTTGCTGGAGCGTTCCTTGAACGGTAAATAAAATTCATCACCGCTCGAAACCGCTCACCACCGTTAAACAGAAGTTGGCCCCCGTTAAAGCAACGCCGTGTACGCCCGGCCACCGCTGATGCTGGAGGGGCCCTCCTACCGCTCCGAAAGTTTTGAGCTGCACAAAATATTGCGAGCGGTGAGGAGGGGGCAATTTTCCGCCCCGGCAAAGTTCACCCCCGCTCCACTAACACCCAGTCAAAGTTTGGCATCGCTAGACGCAAGTTCGTGGACGCTTGGGTCCGCTGGGCCAACGCAGAAATCTTGAACGCTGGACCACCGCTGCTTCGCCAGCGTTGCCCGGGCGGCGATTAAACGTTGCACAAACTTTGCTGGAGCGGTTGCAAGCGTTTTACGAGCGGACACGAGGTTGCTGAAACGGTGTCGGGCGTTGAAGCAGCGATCCATGTCGGCAATGAACTTTGGTTTGGCGTTGGTATAGAGGTGTCGGAGCGGTGACGAGCGTTGTCGAAATTCGGACCCCGTCCCTACCGTTAAAGGAACGCTCCAGCAAAGTTCGGCCAGTGTGAACGGGCCTTAAACCGCATGCGCAGAACGCCGCTATACCAACGCTCGCGTCATCGCTTAACTAACGCTCGCCACCGCTATACCAACGCTAAAGCAACGCCGGCTTCAGCGGTGCACCGCTAAGCCAACGCCCGTGTTTTCATTATTTTAGTCCGGTTGCCAAACCCCCGATTTTTGGAGAACCTTGCAAGAGGGTCTGCATGCCCTTTTTCGTTAACCGTTATGGGCTATTTTAATTTACCGTTAATCGTTGCCAGCCCGCTCTAATTCAACGTTAAGCGTTACCAGTATATTCATCGTGAAGCGTTATTGGTCGTTTTAATTCAACGTAAAACGTTATTTGTCATCCTAAATTCAGCGTTAAGCGTTAATGAATAATTCTTCGTTACGCCTAATTTTGCCTTTCAAAGTGCAGGAAAATGCGTCTTTGAAGGTTTAAAAATACAAAATTTCCCGGGAAATGCCCCCGAACCCCCCTACATTACTCGCGCCTCTGGCGCTCGACTCGCACTTCTGCGCTAGGTCCCTTCGGCTCTAGCCAGAAACAGCTTTCCCGTCAATTTCCGGAAGTTTTGTGGAGAGTTACAGAATTTTTTTAAGGGCCGTCAACCTTGACAGGCAAATTAACAAAAATCTTGAGTAAAATATGAAAACATCAGAAGGACCGACAAACACTCTCAACACGATTTGCCTCTCAAAATGCGGGAAATTGCGTTTTAGAAGGCTTAAAAATCCTAAATTTCCCGGGGGAGCATCCCCCGGACCCCCTAGATTACGAGCGCATTTGGCGCTCCACTATTAAAATCCATCGGTAAAACTGGGCAGACTAAAAAAATGCAAGCTGGCCGACGTCGACTCGGACTCCCCTGTATTTGTTGACGCACTCGGGGACCAGCCAGGTGGGAAACACAGGGAACACATATCTTTAATGCGTGCTTCATTACATGTAAGATATACGTAATCTTGTCAGTGATCACCTTTTCTCACAAAGCGAGATACCAAATCCAGTGCAGCTCGAAAAAAAGCCTGACAATTTACCGTTAAGCGTTGCCGACTGTCCTGAATTTACCGTTAAGCGTTATCGGCCCTGCTGAATTCACCGTTAACCGTTGCCAGGACCCCTCCATGCAGACCCTCTTGCAATGCGGTCCATACAAAGTTTTTTTGTTGTTTCTATATCTCTGAGGTGTGCTCTTTCAGAATATGAATGATGCCACTCTGTCATCCTTGGGCAATTCGCACAATACGCAAATTAAGGTGGCCATTACTGAAAATCCAGTTTTCGTCAATATCTCAGTAACTACTCATGGTATCAGAATAATTTTGGTGTCTATCCCCATCTTTTGAGGGATAACGAATTAAATCAAGCCATTTCAGTAAAGATAGAACCACTATTTTTTGCTAAATATGCAAATTTGGGCCGCGCAATATGCAAATTAGGGCGGCCATTACTGAAAATCTGTTTTTCGTCAATATCTCAGTAACTACTCATGGTATCAGAATAATTTTGGTGTCTATCCCCATCTTTTGAGGGATAACGAATTAAATCAAGCCATTTCAGTAAAGATAGAACCACTATTTTTTGCTAAATATGCAAATTTGGGCCGCGCAATATGCAAATTAGGGCGGCCATTACTGAAAATCTGTTTTTCGTCAATATCTCAGTAACTACTCATGGTATCAGAATAATTTTGGTGTCTATCCCCATGTTTTGAGGGATAACGAATTAAATTAAGCCATTTCAGTAAAAATAGAACCATTATTTTTTGCTACATATGCAAATTTGGGCCTTGTCTGTTATTGACGCACCTGGCTGCCAGCAAGGAGGGGTCCTAATTCCGACCCATGTTCCATGCAAACGCACATGCCTAAGTGGTATAGTTTATCTGACCCAAAACCTGTTCAATATTGAAAGACAATTCTAAGTTTACTTAAGTCTAGATGGCAGACGTCTTCTAGCATGAAACGCCGCTTGCGTATGATTGTAGACAATGGCTGTTGGTTAGCTCTGGCTCATATATCTGTGTTGGGTATGAAGTCCTGTCGTCTGATGCTTAGGATCTTCCTCACGCATTCACTATCAGAAGCATCCAGTGATTCCAGTCTCTTTTCTTGGCTGATTTCCATATAGTAGGTTTCAAAGCCAAGCTGGTTGAAGGCTGCTGAGGCCTTTCCAAGTCTACAGTCTAGCTCATTGTCCATCTGTCCTTTTTTGTTGGTGGAGCTCCCAAGGTAGGTGAAGTTCTCCGCCACTTTCAATTTGTTCTTGTCAATGGTCACACTTCTAAGAGGAGCATGTTAATTGATGGCCCTGATGCTGAGCCCAATGCTGTCTGCAGACGGACTATGTTGGTCACTAGGGGTTGGAGATCTCTGGCGTTTTCCGCTATGGTCGGCAAACTTTACCCCCGGCCCTTTTCTCCTGTTGCTTCCCAAGTACCCAGTCGATAGCCACGGGAAAGAGGATCTGTGACAGGACACAACCTTGGAGGATCCGATCACAGGATCTCTTTGAGCGAAAGCTAGCTTGTTGCTCGCAGCTCCCAGAGGACCTTACCTACTGCATCTCTCATGCGGTTCAGTAGGCATTTGGCATACACCTTCACTGGTATAAAAAAGAATTGTCACTCTCCTTAAGTTATCACATTCATTCAGGTTTCCCTTCTTTGGAATGCACACTTTAAGCCTATGTCACAATTCAAGAAGGGGGCCCTCTCGGCGCGTTTTCGGCCTATGTTTTGGCACTACCGAATTCGGAACGGGACCTGGAAGGCAATAGGCGGGGTTCCCGACGGCTGCCGGCCTATTTTTGGCCCCGCGACGTCGCCAAATTGATTTGACTCAAACTTAAAGTCACTTCAGGCCCCGGCGGGCAAGGTACGCCGAAGTGACCCCGTAACCTCACCGGACCCACATTTTGGGCGCGGTGACGAGCGTTGTCGAAATTCGGCCCCCGTCCCTACCGTTCAAGGAACGCTCAGGCAAAGTTCGCCCAGTGTGACCGGGCCTTAAACAACGTAACACGCGACTGACTTTTGTTTCTGATCTACTTTTAAAAAGAGATATTTTAAGGGAATGAATGTCAAGCCAAACTGTTTGGTCTGAATCTTGATTTCTGTGTTTTATGATCAACTCACCGCCTCTGACAATATTCCATCCAAGAAAAAAAGCAATACAGAAGGAAACATTATGTTCAAGGTACATAACGATTTAATTGTGTTAGCGGAAAGTTTCTATAAATACATCTTCTAAAAGCAATGCAAAACAAACAGGAACTTGAACTCATATACAACATAACGCCTACGTTTTCACAACTGTGAAATACTAATACTGTTGGAAACTGAAGCAAGTCGGTCATTTTACACCGATGCAAATTAGCATAAAGATTTTACTACAAACCAAACGCTAGTTTCCTGACTTTATGTTGGTCAAAAGATATTATTGTGTCTGTAAGACATACAGGCAAACACTTAGACAAAGTGAAGTATTAACAAGAAATCGAAGCTCCTTCAATGGCTTCATTCTTACAAACTCAACATTAACTTCTACCTTTCAACTACTGTTTACAATCACTTACCGATGTTAAATACTGTACATTTACATTATACCATCAATACCAACAAATTTTGGTGTTCTACCACAAATTAAGTTAACTTCGATGAAGGTTAGACATCCAGGTAATACGATACGCCAAAAAGCAGTTACTCAAGCAACTGGATATGATTTTGAAAACGTCAGACGTTTCAGCTAGTATCCACTAGCTTTCGTCAGTGACTGAGAGACCAGAGGGGAAATGCAGGTTTATAAGCACAACCTATTTACCTACCAACCTATTTAATTAAGTTTACTGTTCAAAAATTACAAATCTGGTTATCAAATGATGGATTCTTTTCCAAACTTTATAGTTGATAGTTAAAGAAAGTATATTTGTCTGGCTAAGAATTATATTCTTTTTAACTGTATTCAAAATAAGTTTCCTAGTTTTAAATATTTGAATAGTTTAGACAAATTTATATATCTTATGAAATTAGACAAGCCGTGTTTTGTAAGTTCTATATGTTCATTCATCTACAATTGTTTTAAGAAGCGAGAAGAAGTCGATCCTGTAAACAATAGTATTATTTAGTTTGTCTTCATGATCTGTACTTAGCTCGAAAGAGCATAAATGTGCAATAAAGGTCTTTCATTCTTTCATTCATTATTCTTGTAACTAAACCACAGTTTTACAGTGATTAAAATGCAGTGGACAAAAGTGCCTATGACATTTCGTCAGGAAAAACTTGCATATTTGCAAATATTAGTAGCATATATATCTTAAAATAAATCATGTAGTTAGCCTAAATGGTTTCAAAATTATTGTGCTGTATCCGTAAGCTACATATAGTCTGAAGATAGAAAAACTATACTTAAGAGAAGATTATGCACATTAAATGTCACTACGAGATGGTCACAGTTCCAGAGTTGGTGCCTCCGTGTGAATTCTTTTATGTCGAGTTAGGGCAGACTTAGTATCTCCAGAATAGCTACACTGGTCACATTTGTAGGGTTTTTCTCCTATATGGGTTCTCATATGTTGGGGTAAGTTCGCCTTTTGAGCTGTCCTGTATCCACACTCCCCACATATGTAGGGTTTCTCACCGGAGTGTGTTGCTAGATGTTTGTCCAAATGAGCTTTCCGTGCTGCAGAATAGTCACACTGGTTACACTTGTAGGGTTTTTCTCCTGTATGGGTTCTCATATGTCGGGATAAGTGGGACCTCATCGCTGTCCTGTATCCACACTTCTCACACATGTAGGGTTTCTCACCAGTGTGCTTTGCTAGATGAATGACCAAGTCTGATTTCTGAGCTGCAGAATAGCCACACTGGTCACACTTGTAAGGTTTTTCTCCTGTGTGGGTTCTCATATGTTTGGATAAGTTGGACCTCACAGCTGTCCTATATCCACATTCCCCACACATGTAGGGTTTGTCACCAGAGTGTTTTGTGAGATGATCAAATACTAGTAAATGAGATTTCCGTGCTGCAGAATAGTCACACTGGTCACACTTGTAGGGTTTTACTCCTGTATGTGTTCTCATATGTTGAGATAAGTGGTACTTTTGAGTTGCCCTGTACCCACACTCCCCACACATGTAGGGTTTCTCACCAGAGTGTTTTGCTAGATGTCGGTCTAAATGAGATTTCCTTGTGCACTTACAGTTTCAGGGGCTGTCAGAGGGTCTTCTTACTCCTCACTCCTTGTTGATTTAGGCTGGGAGAGACTCTCTGATCGTCGCCATGTTCACTCACTGATCATGATGTACAAAGTAATCCATGGCCATACCCGTCAGTATCTCAGGGACCTGATCTCTCCCGAAGTTTCTTTTTCGACATCGTATGATCTTCGTAATAAATCTAATTTACGGCTACCGCTTTGTCTTACAACTAGGTATAAAAAGTCTTTCATTCCATATGCTACGCATCACTGGAATGGTCTTGATGTAGCTGTTCGATCTCTGAATCTTTCATTGTATAAGAAGTACTTAGTAAAGTCAGTACGTTCCCCTTTTTACCGACATTTTAGCATCGGCCCCAGGTACACCTGCGCATTACTCACGCGTCTCCGCATCGGGACCTGTAGTCTTAACCACAGCTTATTCTTAAGAAATTTAGCCCCTAGTGCTGCTTGTATCTGCGGGTCTCGTTGTGAGAGTGTCATACATTTTCTTTTACACTGCCCTTTATATAATCAACAAAGAGTCACCCTACTCAGCAATCTCCAGAATGTGGTAGGCTTTGATTTTGATGTTTTCAATATGTCTGAACAATTGTTATGTGATATTTTACTTAGAGGATTACCTGATTTATATTATGATACAAACTGTAATATCTTGCTAACCACTCAAACTTATATTGTTGACACCAAACGGTTTGTACTTGATTGATTTATCATATAGCCTACTAAACATTTCTTTGTACTATTTAACG